TTATATTTTATGTGTAGAAATACAAATGTTATGTTGCTGCTATTTTTAAGTGCAGTCAAGTCAGTTTTGACTCATAGTGAACCTGTATAGGGTTTCCGAGGAGCAGCTGGTGGGTTTGAGCCATGAACCTTGTTGTTAGCAGTCTAGCAGTTATCCTACAGCACCACACCAAGAGTCCACAAATGTTAGTACCAGGGAACAAATTCTTATGATAGCAATATGGTGTGCAGTCATGAACAGATTTGCTCTTTTGAGCAAAACTTCTGACTACTTCTATGTCTAAACAGCAGCAACAGACCTATTGCAATGCAGAGCATTGTTTCAAATGACTCATCTACCCACAGTCTTTGCAACTCCCACTAAACAACATTTTAGGTCTGGGTAAGAGAAGGATTTACACCCTCGGAAACCCTGTACAGGGTCGCTATGGGTCGGAACCGACTCGACGGCACTTAACAACAACAACAACAAGAGAAGGTGAGAGAAGATGCTGATAGGATAATATGATTCAGTTGTGACTATTAACAGAGTTAATAGTGATGGTAATAATTTAGAACTCCAATATTGGGTAAAAAAAACAAGCTACCTCAAAAGTAGAACAAAAGAAGAACAAGGAGTGGACTGTATCCTTTGGACCCTGAGATCCCTGTACAATGAATCTCCTTGGCCCAGGAACAGAAAGCTGTAACAACAGAAGAGTGGCAGAGCAGTAGCAGCGGCAGCAGAACCAAGAGCCAGCATGAGAGGAAGTGGTAGACTTTCCAGCCTATTTAGCAATTAAAGCTTAAGTGACTCTGGGCAGGAGGCTTGCTTGCAGAGTGGGGCAGCTCCAGGCACTTAACTGGGGGAGCTAGAGTCGAGTGTCTTCAGAGTAACACTGATGGTGAAGTGATGTGTTCTGTGGGCATTTATCAGGAACCCTAAAAAAGCTTTGTAAGGCTGCTCAGGTAGAGAGAGGCCTACCTGTGGTAGACTTTAGTCGAAAAAGTATAAAAAAGTTTTTTACTAGAGAAATCAGTTAGACTCAATAAGGAGGCTTTCATTGATTGTGAGTTCAAAGCTTCTATTTTGTTAACCGTCTCAAATACAGTGGGCATGGCTGTGGAGAGGCTGTTCTGAATGGAAGAATTGTGCCCTGAGTAGTTCTGACCCTGAACTGTAACCTGTTAAGTTCCCTAATAAACCCCATAACTGTGATTATGGTGTCTGAGTTCTGTGTGAATTATCAAATTGCAATGACTTATCAAAATCAGATGAACAGACATGGAGCAAGTCAAGTTAAGTGACTTGAGGCCGAAGTCTTACTTTCAGCGTGGGGTGCCTCCAGGGACTTAATTTTGGTGACTAGGTTGCTGACCCACAGAGCTAGAGCCAATGCCTTTAGGCTGAAGCTTACGGTGGCATAGTATATCCTGTGGGCATATCTCAGCAGTCCTAAAAGAGGTTTGTAACATTGGCCAGGCAAAGAAAAACTGTTGAGGAGAAGCTCTTGTGACTAGAACAACTGTGTCCTGAGAATTTCTTACCCTGATTATAACCTGTTAACTTCCCTAATAAACCCCAACTGTGGGGAAAAAAAAGGAAATCAAATGAATAGAGTGCCCTGGTGAGGGATGGTTGTTCCTTTTGTTGGTAAGTGCTGTTGAGTTGGTTCAGATCCTTAGAGACCCTATATAGGGTTTCCAAGGAGTGACTGCTGAGCTTGAACTGCTGACCTAGCGGTTCAAACTAACTTTGCAGGTCAGTGCATTAACCCACAGTGTCACACCAGAGATGGTTAGTGTCACATTTTTTTGCACCTATACCTGTTTGGGTTTGGAATTAGCCATAAGCCTTAGCTTCAACATCAGATAGCATCAGTCATATGCATGTGTTGTTGTTGTTATGTGCCGTGGAGTTGGTGCCGACTCATAGTGACCCTCTACAGGGTTTCCAAGGCTGTAAATCTTTATGGGAGCAGAAAGCCTCATCTTTCTCTCATGTAACAGCTGGTAGTTTTGAACTGCTGACCCTGAGGATAGCAGGCCGACTTGTAATCACTACGCTACCAGAGCTCCTTATAGAAGCCAGATATAAAATGAGACAACAACTATAACCATGGACCAGAAAACAAACTAGCTAGCTCCTCATATGGCTTTTTGGACACAGAAATGGCAGTGTATGAAGGAACATTATCTTATAAAAGGGAAATCATGTATCCAAATCTTCTGAAAAATACAGTCTCCAGGTGAAGAATGAATAGCATAAAAATACAAAATAGATTCAGAACAGATATATAAAGCTAAGTATATGCTACTGAGTGAAGGGGAAACTTTTTCTCTCTCAGATCATCCACATCTTTAAAGTCTGGAGATCAGAATAAGATAAACATTTATTTTTAAACTATGAAACCCTTAATATAATCACAATTCAGTTAGTAGCTATTAGCTACAAATTTTTTTTCTACTAAACTCTGAATACTAAGTAGCATTTTTTGTACCTAGAATATATATCAACAGTATAATTTCTGAACACATAACAATGTTTATGCAAAATCTGCTGATAAAGAAATATATGTTGTTGTTATTAAGTACTGTCAAGTCGGTTCTGACTCATAGCAACCCTGTAGAGGGTTTCCAAGAAGCAGGTGGTGAATCTGAACCACCGATCTTGTGGTTCAAACTGACCTTGCAGTCCAGTGCTTTATCCCGCAGCTCCACACCAGGATTCGTAAAGAAATATCTGGGGGCTAATAAAATGGCCAGATTGTAAGATATATTTAAATTGACCAAAGAATAACTTTGACTTAATGTCAAATGACTCACCTGTTTTTGCTGTTTTTTTTTGTTTGTTTGTTTTATACAGCAAGGTAAACTATATGCTCTCAAAATTTATAAAATATCTTGAAATACTAGGATAAACTGAGCTTTAAATGAACAATAACTGTATTTGAGACGTTTAACAAAATGTGTGTTAAAAGCTTCTAATCAATGAAGACCTTCTGACTGAGTCTAACTAAATTCCTCAGTGGAACACTTTTTTGTACTTTTTCTACTGAACTCTGTAGCCTCAAGTATATGGTTCCATGAATTTCCACAGAGGAGATATAACTTTATAACACCACTTGGCTCAAGGTACACAAGAGTTTTACTGGCCTCCCAGACACTCTCCCCAGTCTTTACACATCCATCCCTCCACACCAATAAGCACACTATTGTGACTGTATCTCCACAAATTAATAGTTTTGCCTGGGTTTGAACTTTATAAAATGGAATAATATCATCTGCACATACAGGTACTATGCCTGGCTTCATTTGCTTAACGCACATCCATGAAATGAACTCACTGTTATAAATACCAGAAGTTTGCTTCTGTGTGAACATACACAACTTGTTTATCCATTCTATTACTGATAGACTTTGGGGCCCTTTTGAGTCATTGGCTACTATAAATAATGCTACTGTGAACACTGTAGTACGTCATTCAGTCCATGTTATATGTGTGATGAGTGTATGGTATGGATTCAGAGTGAATGCTTATGTTCAACTCTAGTAGATACTTTCACACAATTGTTTACATTGTTATATCAATTTATACTCACCAGCATCTGCCAGCATCTAGTTATTCCATAATACAGCCTGTTTGAACTAAATAAATAAATGTAGTTTTCAAGGGTCTGTGGTTTAATTCAATAAAGTAAGTGTAAGCAGGACCTGACTAATTCAACAATTACACTATCTATCTACACATGAATTTAACCCAAACATTTAAACACCAGCTTATATATCACCATAATAAAATCAAAGTATGTCCAATGTTGTTTATCTTTTCTCTAACAATATAAATCAGTTGATACAGGTTTAAATTGCTAAGGATAATAAAATTCTATCAAATTTGTTATTAAGTAAGAACAAAAGAACCCACCTAATATATTCCTAGAACTGGCAAATCTCTGCATAAAGTGTGAGTTGGTGAAGAGCAATTCAAACATTCTCTCAGCGCTGATATGAAAAACACGGTTAATATAAAGTCTTCCATGAAGATCTTTCTCTGGAATATTATCTGGTCGGGGGAGGGCAACACAGAACCAAAGCAGAAGTTAGCAATAAAACCTTGTCTGGGAAGGGACAGAACATTTCTAAATGTGATTATAGTGAACAGCAGACTCTAGCACACTATGAGAATTCCAAAGTGGAGTTATACACATATATGCTCTATATTATACATAGAGTTAATTAAACGATGTATGATCAACATTTCAATTGCTGAAACCCAAAAGATGTAGAAAAATTTAGCTTTAAACAGAAAAATATCAATTTCCATAATGTATCACTCAAATGGAGTTCTGGTGTGGTGCTGTGGGTTAATGAGCTAGACCACAAGGTCGGTTTGATCTGCAAGGTCTGTGGTTCAAGCTCACTAGCCACTCCTTGGAAAAACTATACAGGGTTGCTATGAGTCAGAAGCAACATGATGACACTTAACAACATCATCACTCAAAAAGACCTTGGATGATGTTTCAAATATGACAAGGGTAACACAGTGTGGCATCTACCACAGCAATCAGTAGATCCTATTTCTGAATGCTCATATAATCAACTAATACTGAAGCATTAATGGACATAATGTCCACTGTGCATACACTCTTGCTAGCCTGACTAATGATCCAACATGACTTAAGGCTGACTCCCCCAAGACAAGGATCACATGTTCCCAACCTATTCTCAGTGTTGTTGTTGTGTGCCACAAATCAGTTCCAGCTCATGACAACTTGTGTATGGTTTCCGAAAGTGGCTTGTGGGTCTGAATTGTCAACCTTGTGGTTACCAGTCCAGTGATTATCCTACAGTGCCACACCAGGGCTCAATATCGATTCTTAATATCACTCATTAAAAGAACTCAGAAATCCTTTTTTGAAAAGTATTCCTCGAAATGAAATAAAGCCCAATGGAATATTACATTTTGGAGGAAACTGATAATGAAAGTGACATTAAAAACTAGTAGTAACAAATAGAAGCAGTATCTACTGTTTCATGTAGCCCCTAGAAACAGTATATAAAATAGTCCATAACTATACAGTGCTTGGAGTCCTGGTGTAGCACTGTGGGTAATGCACTGGGCTACAGGGTCAGTTTGAACCACAAGGTCAGTGGTTCAAGCTCACCAGCTGTTCCTCGGAAACCCTGTACAGGGTGGCTTAAGAGTCGGAACTGACTCAACAGCATTTAGCCACAAAAAATATAGTGCTTACTATGTCAGACATTGTGATAACCTTGTAAATATTAACTCATTTTATCCTCACATCAATCCAATAGGAACTATTATCACCTTCATTGCAGATGAGGAAACCGAGGCACAAAGAGAAGTAAATTGCCAAGGCTCCATGGCTAGTGAGAAACAGATCTGGAATTTGAATCCACTCCACCACCACAGCACACATATTTTATTCTATTTCATACTACCAGAAGGAGTTTAATTTAGATTAAATTTAGTAAATACCAAAGTTTACTACAAAGAATCATCTAAAAAAAAAAAAAAAAAAAAGCAGCAGGAAATAGGAGCCTGGGGAAATAAAAGAAATGGTACAGTATCAAGTAATCCAATTTTAATTATTTCATGACCAAAATTATTTATTCTTACTTGAAGATTAATGAGAATTATGACAAAAGCTGCCCAAATGTCAGAAACCAAGCTATGTAAAGTATCTGTCAATATTAATCCAAGAGAAGCAGTCTGGTAAAGTAAAACGGTGTTAGTCTGAGAATCAGAAAAACTCTTCCAACTCCAGCTTTGCCCTTGACTATCTCTCTCCGTCTCATTAAATGGTCTATGTTTCTCTATTTGCTACATGTATAGAGAACTTAGGGATATCACGATTGACCTTCTTGCTACAACAATATTACATGTAGGCAAAAGTATTTACTGCAACTTCAAAGAATGATCCCTTCAGCGAATCACTGACAACAGGCAATTTGCTAAGGTTTTGTGAAAAGGTCACGTAGGTTGGCAAATAGTTTTTGGGGTTTTGTTTTTTGTTTTACACAGAAGCAATACATACTCATTGTAAAAAATTATTAATATAATTACAAAGAATGTAAAATACTACTGGCGATTGTACTGATCTTGCTTGTTTTCTTCACAGAATCAACCCTGATTTTGTCATTTTATTTTTACTGCCTTATTGACTAGTTTATTGTCTCTCTTCTGCATTTGCCTTGTAGAGATCTTGCTCTGTATAAGGAAAGAGTTGGCGGTCTTTTCCTGTAAAGATAACAGTCATAGAAACCCTATGGGACAGTTCTACTCTCTCCTACAGAGTTGCTGAGTCAGAACACAGCAATAAAAACCTGATTTTTTCCAGTAATTTCCTTTTCCTGTACTGGGATCCAAACCCAAATATATTGTATTTAGTTGTTTCTTGTCAAATGCCACCGAATCAGTTCTGACTAATAACGACCCTGTAGGAGCAAATAATAGATGTAGGAGCAAGTACCGACTCGATGGCACCTAACAACAACAACATCATTCACGGGCCATACAAAATTCTCAATTTAAAAAATTAGTCTGCTATATTTGGTCAAAGATATAATTAACTCATCCTTAACGTGAAAGCTGGAACTGTGGTTGTCTTGGCAGGGCCAGGCATTCCTCACCCCTGCAAATATAGTTTCCAAGGAACAGCTGGTGGATTTGAACCATGGACCTTGAGGTTAGCAGTTCATTGCTTATCCTACAGCATCACACCCCTTAGTCTCCTCTAATCCATGACACTGGGTCAGTCTTTTCTGGGTTTTGTTGTTGTTGTTGTTGTTATGATCTTGACATATTTGAAGAATACCTGTCAGGTACTTTGTAAAATGTTCTTCAGTTTGGAGTCATCTGATATTTTTTCTTGATTAGACTAAAGTTTGTAGATTTTTGTAAAACTACTACAAAAATGAAGTGCACTTCTCTTCAAAAAGTCAGTGGGAACATGGCATCAACATGACTTAAAATAATGAACCTCCATGGCTTGGGTAAGGTAGTATATCTGGCAAGCTTCTCCAAGTAAAGTTATTCCTTTCTATATGGTAGTGTAGTGGTTACAAATTGGGCTGCTAATCACAAGGTCAGCAGTTCGAAACTACCAGTGGTTCCACAGGAGAAAGATGAGGCTTTCTGCTCCTGTAAATATGTACAGCCTTGGAAACCCTTATGCAAGGTTGCTATGAGTCAGAACTAACTGCATGGCATACCACCACCACCATATTCTACTCAGACTCCCTTTGTGGCACTGCAGGATAATTCGCTGGACAGTAAGGTCAGTTTGAACTGCAAGGTCGGGGTTCAAATCCCTTAGCCACTCCTTGGAAACCCTATACAGGGTCACTATGAGTTGGAACTGACTCAACAGCACTTAACAACAATATATTCTATTCAGACTCCTGGTGTGATGCTTTTAGGATCAGCACTGGACTGTGAACCACAAGGTTGACAGTATAAACCCACCAATAGCTCCTCGGAAACCCTATACAGGTCTTTATGAGTCAGAACTAACTTGATGGCACTGAAAAATACCATATTCTACACCGACTGGATGGCACTAGCAACAGTAGCAACAAAAGTTAAACCCATACTCAAGGAGAGGAGAATTAAGTTCCACCTAGATGTAGGAACATCTACTACTCTGTTGTTATTGTCAAGTGCCACATCAGAAGTCCTCTACGACAATAAGACCCGCAAAGGTTGGAACCTGTGAAGGTGGACACCTGTCAGAAAGGATTAAGCAAATATTTTCCACCAAAACTACTGACAGAATATAGTAAGACTGCATGTACCCTGTCAAAAGTGGAAACCCTATGGAACCTGAAAAATATGACAGTTTTAGCTCTCATAAATCTCACTATATATAACTTGAAATTCTGTAATAAAGATTGTGCTTCCTCATCCACTTATGTATTTATTCAATCATCTGTTTAAATCAGTGCGGACTCAAGCATATTTATTTTATTCTTTAGGTTATAATCCATTACTATTACTTCTGTAATTTGATCATTGGAAGCTCTTTCAGGTTCAATACTGTGTAGGGCTCTAATACAGAGTACACATAGACTATCAAACATTTCAAGAATTGCACAAACAAAAGAAGACACAATAAATGATTGGAACACACTAAAAATTAGAAACATGTACATCAAAAGATTTCACCAAAAGAGTGAAAAGGAAGACCACAGAATGGGAAAAAAATCTTTTTCAATGACATATCAGACAAGGGACTAATCTCTAAAATTTATAGGAAACTACAACACCCCTACTGAAAAGACAAATAACCCAATTTAAAAATGGGCACGGGACACGAACAAATACTTAACCAAAAAAGACACATTAGGGCATCCAACAAGCATGAAGAAATGGACATGATCATTAGCCATTAGAGAGATACAAATGAAAACAACAATGAAATATCATCTTACACCAGCAATAACAGCAAAGTTCAAAAATGCAGAGAATAATAAATGCTGGCAAGGATGTGGAGAGACTGGGACCCTGCTACATTGCTGGTGGGAATATAAAATGGTTCAAACACTCTGGAAAATGGTATGACGCTTCCTCAGAAAGTTGAAAATAGAAATAATCAATCGATCCAACAATTCCTCTACTTGGCTTATATCCATAAGAAATATGAGCCAGAACATGAATAGATATATCCACACCAATGTTTATCACAGCACTATTCACAATAGCAAAACAGTGGAAACCGCCTAAGTGTCCATCAACAGAAGAATGGATAAATAAACTTTGGTAAATACACAAAATGGAATATTATGCTACCTTGAAGAATAAAAAAGAAGCTGCAAACCACTGCATAACATGGATGAACCTTGAGGACATTATACTGAGTAAAATTTGTCAGTCACAGAAGGACAAATATTGCATAGAACCATCATTGTAAAAGCCTAAGGAAAGATACCCATACTAACAGAAGAAGAAAAAAGTTCTTTGTTGGTTACCAAGTGAGTGGGAGGGGACGGTAGAGCACACAAGTTAGGGGATAGACAGACACATCATAGTTCAGGTGTTGG